TGTTCATCTTGTGGTCAATCATGACCCCCAAGTCACTTTCAGCCGTGGTGCTAGCAAGCATAGTGCTGCCGAGCCTATAAGTGTGCTGTGGGGTTTTTTTTCCCCAAGGTGGAGTACCTTGCATTTTTCAGTGTTGAACACCATCAGCTTTTTGTCTGCCCATTTTATGAGCCTGTCTAGGTTGGCCTGGATCACCATCCTGTCCGCAGGTGTGGACGCTTTACCCTGAAGTTTGGTGTCATCGGCGAACTTGGCCAGTGCACTTCTGATCCCAATGTCTACATCATTAATAAAGATGTTAAAGACTTTGGGCCCAAGAACGGAGCCTTGGGGGACTCCATTGGTCATGGCGCACCACAATGACTGACTTCCATCGACTACCACTCTCTGGGCCCGACCTCGGAGCCAATTCAGCTATTGGACTGTGATGTAGCCGAGGCCACGGTTGGCCAATTTTTCCATAAGGAGATCATGGGACACCAGAACAAAAGCTTTTTTAAAATCAAGATATGACGTCAATCTCTTCTCCCTTGTCCAGGTGATAGGTCACCTGGTCATAGAAGGAGATGAGATTTGGTCAGGCAAGACCTACCCGCAACAAACCCATGCTGGCTATCCCTCAGGATGTTGCCATCAGCCAATTTATCAAGAGTGGTCCTTTTTGATAATTTTTTCCAAGACCTTCCCTGGGATAGAGGTCAGGCTGATGGGCCTGTAGTTCCCCAGATCTACTTTGCTCCCTTTCTTGAAGATAGGCACCACATTGGCCTTCTTCCAATCTTTGGGCACTACACCAGAGCACCAGGAGTTCTCAAAGATCCATGCCAGGGCCTGAGCTATGATATCTGCTAGCTCCTTAAGTACCCTGGGTTGTAAACTGTCTGGCCCGGCTGACTTGAAGGTATCCAGCCTCTCAAGGGGTTCCTTCAAATGGTCTACATAGATGAAGGGTAACACTTCTCCCTCACCCTGGCCATCCCTTACCATAGTGAGCAGGGCCATCCCTTGGGGCTGGTGAAAAACCGATGCAAAATGCCCATTAAGCAGGTTGGCTTTTTCCTGGGCGTCGGTTGTCAGTTGTCCCATTTGGGTTAGCAGGAGTCCAATGTTGCCCTTGCTTTTCTTCCAACTCCCCACATATCTAAAAAAGGACTTTTTATTGTCTTTGATACTTGTAGCCAGTTGGAGTTCAGGTGCAGCCTTGGCTTTCCTGATTTGATCCCTGCAGGTCTGGACTAGCACAGAATATTCCTCCTTTGGGGTGGACCCAGTCTTCCATCCTTTATAGGTCTTTCTTTTTAGACGCAGGAGGACCACAAGTTCCCTGCAGAGCCAAGGAGGCTGCTGTGCCTTTTTGCTGCCTTTCCTTCAAGATGGGATAGACATTGCTTGTGCTTTCAGGATCGCTCCCTTGAGGAGCAACCACTCATCCAGAATGCCCCTTCCCTTCGGGTTGTAGTTGCTTAGGGCCTTGCCAACAAGCCTCCTGAGCTTGTCAAAGTCAGCTTTCCTGAAGTCGAGGACTTCTGCATTGCTGACTGACTTGCCAGCTTTAGTGAAGGTGATCAGCTCATGGTCACCGTCTCCTAGCTTCCCTTCAATCATTAGGTTGCTGACTAGATCATCCCCCTCTGCCAGTACCAGGTTGAGCAGCGCTTTGCCTCTCGTCGGTCCATAGACTTCTTGAGTCAGGTAGACTCGCCTCACCTCCTCCACGCAGGTAAGGAAGCTTTGCTGCTGTTCGGATTTGGCCTAGTGCTCTTCCCATGAGATGTCTAGGTAGTTGAAGTCTCCCATGACAACTATGCACTGGGAGCATGCAGCCTTAGCCAGTTCCTTGGTAAATTCCTGGTCGAGCTCTTGATCCTGATTAGGAGGTCTGTAGTAGACTCCTACCATTGTGTCCCCTGTGCCATGTTCACCACAGATTTTAACTCAGAGGGTCTCTAGTTGTGCACCCTGGATGCCAATGTCGGCTTGCAGGGATGTGTAGCTTTCCTTGCATAGAGAGCTACACCCCACCCCTTTTGTCTACACAATTTCTGCTGTACAGGATATAGCCGCCTGTATCTGTGGCCCAGTCGTATGTGGAGTCCCACCAAGTCTCCATTATCCCTATGAGATTGTAGTCATTCCTGTTTAGCAGGAGGACTAGTTCTTCCTTTTTGTTCCCCAGACCCCTGGCATTGGTGTACAGGCACATAAGTGTCCCATTGGAGGCCCTAGTCTTCCCTACCCATCGTTTCAGTGCTGGGGTAAGGGTGGGTTTCCTTGAGTGCCTTCGCCTGCTGGATTTGCAAAAGTTGCCCAGTGGGCTTGCTGTGGTGGTAGTCCCCACATCCCCCAGCAGGCTTAGTTTAAAGCTGGGTGGAGCAGGTCAGCCAGTCTGGCTGAGAGGAGCCTCCTCCCCAGCAGAGAGAGGTGGAGGCCATCTCTCCCCAGCAGACCACTGCCTCTCTCACCAAAGAGCAGACTGTGATCGTTGAAGCTGAAGCCTTCACAATGACACCAGCACCGTAGTCTTTGGTTGACTACCTCAATCCTCTCCCTCCTCAGCCCGTAACCCAAAACCGGGAGGATTGAGGAAAACACCACCTGTGCCCCCCAACCCCGTAAGCCCTGCTCCCAAAACCTTGTAGCTTCTCATGACCTGGCTGGGTGTGCTCCGAGCCGTGTCATTCGTGCCCACATGGATAAGGAGCATAGGGTAGTGGTCGGAGGGCCAGATAATCTTTGGTGTCCTCTCTGCTATGTCCTTGATATCGTCCCCTGGAAGTAGCAGACCTCCCGGGCTATGGGGTGGGGCGGCAGATTGTCCCCTCAGGAGGCAGTCTCCCATGACGACCCCTCTGCGTTTCACCTTAGGGAGAGTAGGGGTGGGCGATCCTTCCTTGCCTGTAGGAGCTGGCATCTCCTCAGGCTCAACTGGGGCTGCAAGAGGTCTGTTGCAAAGCCCCAGAGGGGAGGGGACCTTGGTGTGGCGGGCCTTGGGGCCCTTGACCACCTTGGTCCAACCCCCTGGCTGGAAAGTGTGGGAGATCCCCGAGTCCTCCCTTGTCTTGGAAGGTGACCTTGGTCAACCCTTGGCCTCCAGGGGGTGAAGGGCCTGGCAGTAGAAGTCTTTCTCCTGCTCGCCATCCCTGATGGCATGCAGTCTCTGGACTGCAGCCTGGAGCTTCTCTATCTGGGGCCCCAGAGACTCCAAAGTGGAACAAACCTCGCAAGGGGAGGTGGCCATGCTCCTGGTCCCATGTCCCTCAAATCGTGCCAGGCAGCCCCCGCAGCCAAGAGCCAAAGGAATCTACCACAGGTGCTAATGACTCTCTCTCCTTTCTAATGGCCTTGATGTTCCCCCAGTCAAGCTACCAGATGTGCTGTAATTCTGCTGCCTGTTAGCTGCTCCTGGTAAAGAGGCTCCTATTTCACAGCCTTGCAGCCTTTTGAACTCATTTCAATGAAGTTGCATTTGTTTTTGCGTTCATCTTAAACTGAATTAGCTAGTCTGAGGCACACGGGGGCAGGGTGTGGATGCTGAAACCATAATCTAACCTCTACATCAGACTGCTGTCAAGCCAGACATGATGCAGACCTTGCACCCAAACCTGCCACAGGTAAAGACATGGGTCAGAGCCCCTTGCCCCAGCAAAAAGGCAAGGGAGGCTGTTCTGAGGGGTGGGACGGGCTAGGACGGGCTGGGTGAGGGGTGAGCCCCTCCTCACACGGCTGAGGGCAGGGCACGGCAGTCCCAGGGCTTCACTGTAACTATTCAGTGCTGAACCCCTCTGTGCACACTTGGTATCAAACAGTGCATTTGTGATGGAGAGAGAGATGTGGGTTTGTTCTCTGATATTAATTGATCTTAGGTCCGGCAAGTTGCTTTGGGTAGGTGTGATACCTTTTGTTAGACCAACTGAGTAGTTGGGGAAAAGCTTCTGGGTGCAATCACCCTTCTTCAGGCATAGGAAGTCTCCGCTGTTCTGAGATTCCAAGGAATGAAAGATGCTAAAAGTGTGACGGGATGTCAGTGAGACTGTAAACAGGTGGAAATTAGGAAAACAAAAGGTAGAAAAGGGAAGGGAGGAGGAAAAAGAAGGTGGGGGGGGGCAGGGAAGCCAAAGGTAAGACTCTACTGTAGTAGTTTCCCAAGGTAGAAAAGAGGCTGTTTGTGGAGAAGTGAATAGCTAGAAATTAGGAAGACAAAAGGTAGAAAAGGAGGTGAGGGCAGGAAAAGAAAAGTGTGAAAGGTCAGATCCACAAACTTCTAGAACACTTGGTTCAGCGATGATACCTTTCATTAGACCAACGAAGAAATCACAGGAAAATCAAAAAAGATTTTTTTTGTGATTTCTTAGTTGGTCTAGTAATAGCTGTCATCTCCGAACCAAGAGTTCTAGAGGTCTGCGTTTTTTTGTCTCAGGCCAACACGGCTACCAGCTACATCCCTGAAAGGTTGAATCCGGCAGGTACCTGGTGAATCAGCTGTCAGGCCCCTTGTAATGTGTCATAACTGCAATGTCTGTGTTGAGTCCGCAGGTGTATGCGGTCGCCGTGTTGGTCTGAGATGAAAAGAAATACAAAAATCTTGAACTCTTGGTTCCAGAATGATACCTTGTTAGACTAACTTAGAAATGAATTAAAATATATATATATATATTTCTATATATGTATCTATATTTCCTGCATTTCTATAGAGTCCGTGATTTTTTTTTTTATGTTTCCAGTAGATTTATTGCGTGACTTTGTGGGTGTGTTGTAAGTCCTGCTTTCGGTTAAACTCAAATAGTAACACCGCACCCTTCTCCAGCTGCCCCCGAGCCAACTCCACCACGCGGGAAAGACCCCGCCCGTGGCCTGAGGGAGGCTCTGGGACCCGCCGCGCGGAGCGGAAGGGGCGGGGCCTCCCGGCGGGGGCGGAGCCAGAGCCGAGGGAGGCTCAGGAACGCGCCGCGCGTAGCTGGAGGGGCGGAGCCTCCTGGCGCCCCTCCCCGGGAAGGGCGGGGCTGGGCCGGTTGTGGCGCGAGCAGGTGCATGGCGGCGGCGCGGGGTTCCAACCGCTTCTTCCGCGGCCTGGTGTGCGGGACCGCGCTGGGCGCCGCCGCCTCGGGCCTGGCCGCGCTGCAGTTCCGACACAACCACGAGCCGGAACCGGAACCGGAGCCGGGTAAGAGCCGGCCCGGGGGAGCCCTCCACACATGGGGGGGGGTGTTGATATCGGCCCCGCGGTGCTCCTGGTTGAACTGGGGTCGTGCCGGGTGGGCGGTGGGGGGTGTCCTATCCCACCCCACCCCACCCCTGTTTCCCTTCCTGACGCGGCCTGTGCTTCCTCCCCCTCAGGGCGGGTGGAGCCGGCGGTGCTGGAGGAGTTCGGGCTGCCCGACACCGGAGCGGAGAGCAGGTTTTACTTGAACCACGCGCTGTCTTACGACCAGGCCAAGCGGATCCCCAGATGGGTGGTGGAGCACGTTTCCCAACAGAAAACCCTAGGTAGGAGCCTTCAGTCATTGGGGAAGCTACTGGCGTGCTGCGGGCAGGCAGCCAGCCCGGTTTTGCACCGAGTTTTAGGCCTGCCTAAAAAAAGGTTAGGATCCCCTGGCCTGCGGGAGTCCTTAGGGCTTGTGCAAGAGATCCCCATTTGTCATCCCAGTTGCCTTTGTGGGGCTTTGGCCTGACAGGCGGCAGCCTGCAGAACTCTCTCTCTGTTGCGTCTGCGGCAAGCCGGATGCCTAGACGCAGCTGCATATGTTGTGAGGTTTGTAGAAGAGGCTGAGAGAGGACGTGAGGGAGGCTGAGGTTAGCAATGATTTTTGTGGTGTGAAATGCATGAGGCGAAGGGTTAAAAAAAAAAAA